CTAAGTCCTGCCCGTCAATGCAGACTGGCCAATCATAGTGTAGCATCGCCCAGGAGCTGTACTATATTTTCTTCATTTTCAGGCTGGTGTTGTGGATTTTGAGCCGGAACCTGGTTAAACGAGATGTACGTGTCTAAAACGTTACGTTTTCTATAAAATCTGTGGAGCTACCATAAACGGAGTAGTGTATCATTAACTAGAGTTAGCACTTTTATGCTACTCCTAGCTACTGAGAGTATACTAAATGTTATCACATGCTGCTTTTGCTTTTTAATGACTGCAGCAGTGAATAACGAGGAACATGTCCGTCCTTAATTTCACTGTATTCTGTCTGGATTGCCAGATGTGGCACAATCACTTTTACACGGTGATCCGTAGCTTTAGCCTCTAGCTTTTATCTCTTTGACCTGTTTTCACTGCTGAATCAGTTTGACATCCTGGATATATCCTTCTATATTGTAGACCCATTTGTCTGCTTCTCTCTGAAATCACTTTTCCATTTCTCAAAGATTAGATAATATTTATGTTTGGGCTCCATGGCAGCTCTGATAGTTTGACGGAGTAGCAGCAGGTGGCAGGGTTTAGCTAAAGGTCAATTAATCTATGGCCAAGGTTCAGAAACTGTTTATGGAGTTAAGGTTCATAATAATAATAGTTTAATATTATAATGGACTGTAGCAGAGATAAAGAAAAGGTTGATAGGAGTGTAGTGTTATACTAGGAAGTGGTAAACACACTCACTGCTCACCTGGCAGGAACCTGACACACACACTAACACACACAAACTCACAATGGCCCACTGATACCAGGCCGCTGGCTGATGAGAGGCACGGGCTCGATTTAAAAACAAAAAAGGCAAACACAGAAACATGCACACACAGAGCTACACGCCAAGGCTGAGGCGACAGTGAGCTCCTGAGCCAAGGCCTCCCTCACTGATCACAACACAGCTCTGTCTGATAAGCATCTTGTGCAATACACAGACGCAAACGTGTGCTCTCTCTCTCTCTCGCTCTCCCCCCCGCCCCCATTCTTTTGGAAGCGAATGATTTCGACATCATTAACAACAGCCATCGGGCGGAATAGCATGACAGGTAAAAGTATGAAGCCAAAGCTGGATATCAGGTCCAACACCTCGCACAAATCTGCAACACACACAGTAAACAAGACTTATGACACACGAAATACACTTGCATTTGAGAGATGCACATGCTCTCAGACACACTATATATTATAATGAGAGTGTAAGGCAAACTCTATCTGGATAAATAACCATTTTTACATGCATGGCTGTTTTTTTTCGAGGTCTTATGTTTTGTGAAGGATATATGACTTGAAATACATCAAAATCAGGCTGTAGAGAGAACACACACACACACACACACACACACACACACACACGTACGTGTGTACACCAGGTTTCTCACTTCCCTCTTATTCTTTGCAAACAGTGATTTATGCTGTGCGGGGATATCCAAGTGACACCACTATCAGGCATCGCAAAGTAAATAAGAAGTCACTTTAACCCTATCGGATGATCTACTGTAGCAGAGCACATCGGCACAACACTGACACACACCACGACACATACAGATTTACAGTACTGTACGCTTGTTTAAAGCACAGGCATCCCTCGACTTACGTTTGTACCTGAGATCCTGGAATGTGGGACGGATACTGTACAATAACTGTTATGACTTGCTGCCCTTGACAACAGGTACACTGCCTTTCATATTGGCGCATAAATCAGGTAAATGGGAGGATGAGCGGTTGTTGTATACATGTTGGCAAGACATTCCGGAGCAGCTCGAGGTCTTCCGTCTTCACTTCTGTAGTTACACATGAAAACATGCAATCTAGCTTAAACACACACACAGTCATCAACAACATCCTCCTGAGGAGAGAGGAATTCTATATATTTACCCTTAACATCACCTAAGGGTTGATGTTTAGATTTTTTTATTTTAACCCGTGTTTGTAGACCTTTATCGTTGAAACTAACATTTTACGTATGTCTGATTAAAAGTTCTTACTCCTCTTTTATAGATTTGAATAGGAATAGTTGCCTTCTTTCCCGGGAGTTAATTTGTTTGATGAACTATTTTTAGTCGTAGTAGTTTCTATGATCATTGTTACGTTTTTTGGGGGGGCTTTTTTTCCATACATGACTGTTTTGTGCCCTGTATGGGAGGATCAGACACAGCTCCGCTCCGATTGGTCCAGTCTGAGAGTAGATTGACTTGCATTATAACCATCTGAGTGATGAATGTGTTTGTGTTTTTATATATATATATATATATACACACACACACACACACACACACACACACACACACACACACACACATATACTGTATACACATTATGTATTGCTTGTTCTGCTTTGTGATGATTTATTTGACAATGCCTTACAAAGATCTCACAGGCATCGAAACATTGCTCTGCTAAATTAAATGTGCTGTCAGCGCAGTGTGAAGATATTTTGCTGGACCTCTGCACATGCACAACACATATGTTGTTGCAGGAAGGAAGACACACACACACATTTACTCATACACACTCGTATGTAACCTTGTTTGCTGGTGTGAAATCCAGGGATTGTGACAGGGTTCAGAGTTCTGAGAACACCAGCAACAGACAGTGAGTTTGCCAGAGGAACCACAGAGTGTGAGAGACACACGCACACATGCACACATGCAGAGAAACATACACGCACCATGGCAGCGCTGTCAGTGAGTCAGTGTGTGAGTCACACTCCGGCTATGCTGCCTCTCGATTTTATAACGGCCGCAAGCACGGCACTGTATTTAATATTCCAAACAACTGTACTGGACTCTGTGGCACACATGCACGTATATTAACATCAGCATATACTGTAACATATACATCTACACACACAAACATGATATTTCCTTTGGCAAAGTACGCCTGCACAAATATGATTTTGGAGTTATGTTCACACAAACACTCACTTTCATGCCTTTTCTCCTTTATTCAAACACACACACACACACACACACACACACACACATGACGCACTGATGCATGCTCATCACTGGGGAAGACTGCAGTTGAGTCAGAGGGGGAGAGAAGGGAATCCTTACCTCTATGTGAGCCAGATCTATAAGAGAGCCAATCATGGGATTCTGCAGCCATAGATACTGGCTCCATGAGGTTTGATCTATGAATCATCCCCCTATACATTCACACAAGAGACTGTTTGCAGCTGTAGGTGGAAGAAAATATGGAAGGGTGTGTACTTTAAATGTCACGTCAAGACATGTCACTATACCCTTGTCACATTCTAAGATTAGAATATCGAATTTAAGACAAAGTAGACACAAATAATGGCTCAGACTAGCACTGATATGATTGCTTTTGACTTGAATATGGATAAGGACTGAACCTCTTGCATGTACTGGTAGACTCAACCCAGGCTCAGTCAGTTTACTTGTTTCACTGCAGCTACCTACAGGTTGAAAGGAACACAATGTCTTCATATCTCAGTTTCCCTTAAAAAGGGAATGCTTTAAACATCACCCTCTGGTGGTGACTTAAGGGGGGTGAACAACCACAATAACTGGCACAGCAATTAAAATGCTTTTTCAATCCCAAAGGGGACTTTATCGAAGGGATTCCATGTGCCAATAGTTGCATTTATTGTTACTTTTGGAAGTCATCTGCAGAACTGTATTTGAAGAAACTAGCAATTTAGTTTGATGTTAAGAGAAAAACAAGACTCCTAGCAATGTAAGATCAGCGGTTTGAGGTTCGAATGAAAGGTGCTGCGTTCATATTATGAAAGCAGCATGAGGCTGTGCAGCAGTTGACGTGTGCTGTGGGTGTTGGAGTTGATGGGAGTGGCATGACGCTGAGGGGCAATGAGTCACAGTCAACGATAAGGTTTTGGGGTTATGACCTACCTCTCTCAACTGTCCCTCTTCCTCCCTGTACTCCTCCTTTCTCTACACATCTGGTTCTTTGCATGGGTATCCTTGTTTGTTTCCTACCCTTTTCTTCTTACAGTCAATGACTCATAACTAACTCTTGCCTCCTTTGTACCTTTGACTATTGGCTAACACGGAGATTGGTCTTACTTTTAGCCTCACATGGTGCTTTCTTTTCTTTCAGACCCTTTTCTCTCGCCTGTTGTCGTCCATTCTTCTGCTCTGTGATCAGGGAGTGGAGCCTTTAGGTTTATCTGCGATTGGAAAAGCTCTCTGACTCACACAAACACATACTTTTATAGGTGATGACTCATTGCAACACGGGCCATTCAGCTCCACAGTACACCAAAGTAAAACTGGTACGTGAGTGCGTGTCAGTGGGACTGGTTTTGCATACACATTAACCTTTATATGCATTAAGGTGCCGTCGCACAGAGGGCTGATGACACACCACCTACGCAGCTTTTATCTCACAGTCGACGAGATAATCAGTGCCGGCTGTAAGGGAGGTTTTGGTCACCCTCATTTGTGTTGTATCAAAAATCTTTTTGTTGCTTGCATGGCCGCTCCATGAATTCTGTTTGTGAAGGTGTGTGTACATGTGCGTATATGGTTTCTTTGCAAACATGAAATAAACATATAATATGTGTGCGTTTTGTACGTATGTACAAATCCAAGGGCAGAAACATGTTCAGTATTTGGGCTTTGAAGAATAAAATGTGTTGAGTGACTCATGCAAGATAGACACAGGAGCCATCAGCCTCCACTGTGGCAGACAACACATACTGTACCACACACACACACACACACGCGCACATATATCCTGATAAACAGACAGAATGGTGCAAAATGTCCCCAGCTTCATTTGTACAACTTTAGCATTTCTGTGGAAAAGATGAGTCGCCATCAACTGCGCTCGTTACGTAACTACTGTCACTTAGGCAGATTCACATCATTTCTAAAATAACAATCAAACTCTCTGCTGCCATTTCTATACAAAGTGAGTGAGGGTACGCCACGTACTTATTATAGAACTGGAACAACACAAAATGGGACTTTTCTTTTTTTAATTCATAAAGATGAATAACATGGTGCAATTGAATGCAATGGTAGTTCCAGTACAATATGTAATGTACATTTCGGAATATTTTATATAAAAAAATATGTAAGACAATAATTGGCTGGAATGTCAAAGACAAACGTCAGTAAAGGACAACATGTTCTCTTACACAGCTACAACACACTTGCACTACAATACTGCTCAGACCACCTGTGCGGTGATTTTGGCAACGACACAGTAATATACCTTTAGGTATCCTTTTTTTGTTCCATACCGACAAACACAAAATGAGACAAATCAATGTTCGTCATCTGTGTCTTCCTCTTCGTCTTCCTCCTCCTCCGATTCATCTTCATCCTCTTCGTCGTCCTCTTCCTCGTCATCTCTTCTTGTCTGCCGACTGGAGGCTCTTTGTTGCTGTGACAACAAATAAACAGTCACTATGCACTTAGCAGGTAGTCATCGAGCCCAAATGGTACTTCCGGTTTTCTCCCAAACGTTTCTCTTTCACCCGGGACAACACAGGTACGTGTGTGAACACGCTCCAATATGCATCGAATTCATTAGGTTATATTTGTAGTGTAATACTATAAGAACATAAATATGTCTCATGTTGAAGGACTGCCAAGTTCATATCATGGCATGAGTATAATCTTAGAACAAGACTCTCGGTGTGCGTTGTCAGTTTTCCTCTAGTTTCAAGCATGCAAACAGGGGTCTGCAGTCCACTGTTCTAGCTGTGCCGTGTACCCGACTGCTTCTGTCTTTGTTCCTTAGCAGAGATTTCAGATTCCCACTGATAAAATCAAACCGAAGCATGATCTCGAGTTGTGGCGCAAGATGCATTCTGATCTCGTGCGAACAGCAATCTGCCTCTGCAAGCTCCAATCTTGACATCTCTAGATAAGACTTCTGAACACACCCCGCGAGACCGAAAGACAACAGCTCTTCAAAGATATCAAATGATGATGACGACTAGCTGCCCAGAGGTTTTAAACAGCAATCCTATTAAAGTCACAAGTACTTGCAGTGCCACGCTTAAGATGCTGGGGGGAGGGGGGAATGCATGATGTTACCGGCATGCGATGGTGTGTGGGGAGATTCAAGCTGAATGATGGCTGAAGTAATGCTGCGTATAGACTTTGGCACAACTGATTCAGACATTAGTTATTTGAGCACCAGTCTCGACTAGTATGAGGAAGACAACTGTTCGAAAAAGGAAGAAGGAAATTTTTTTTTTTTTTTTATTTCGCCATCTCAATGAAACTTACACAACTGCCAAATTCAAAGATAAAATACCAATGCCATAACAGAAACAGGAATCTTCTGGGGGAAATTCTAATTGTCATATCGGAGCATCTATGCACTGTCTGTATCTTACCTGTAAGGTCCCTGATGTACTCAGGAAGGACCCGGTCCGATCGAGGGAGGCTTTGGAATTAGCTCGCACTATGTCTAAGCGTGACTGGTAGTCAGGGGGGTGCAGCGAGCTCCTGAACACCTGCCAAAGACAGTAGGTACTACGTTTTTTTCCAAAGAGAAACAGGAGAATTGAAGCATTGCCTACACACACTTATCAGTAATCTTAGTGTGTCTCACTGAACATAATGCAAGATAATAATTGAATGTAAAATGGCCCAGCCTTCACATACCGAGTGCACATTGTTAGTTAAGGGATTTAACGCAAATAAAATGTCACAGGAGCAAAAACGCACAACTTGAATAAACCAGCAAATCAACAACTAGCAGTCTTTCTTTAATCGCTCATAAACAAAGCACTTCAACAGGTATGCCTCTGATAACACAGCAAACTGCCATTTAAACCACACCAGAAATAAATTCCACAAGAACTCTCAATCAGGATTATCTTCATGCCTGTCATTGTGCCTTTTTTCTGATGATTAAATCTCCCATGCTTTGTACTATGAGTCATTGAAAAACAGCCTCATCTGGGTTAGGAGTTTCGCTTCTATATGAATGGAAGGGAGATGATTCAGTGCAAAACACACAGATGAGATGGCAAGGGGTGGAGGGAAAATAGCACAAGGGCAACTGCAGGAGGAACCTTGCTCACTGAATCATTGATCCTTTGTTTTCTCACTACAGGCTTTGTCTCTTAAAATAGTAACGGCAAACGTCTCAAAGCAAACAGTAAACAGAAGAAAGTAGCTCGCTGTTACTCTGAATTGTGAAGAGTTCACCGCAAGTTTCTTCAAAGTTACCACATGAGTTAGAGGGTGTGGACTATAGAGTATACATGAGCAATGAGCCGTTGAGTAAAGGCTGCATAAGATCATGATAGCGTGGACCTGTTAAATATAACCATCAGGTTAATCAAGTGCACGGCAGAGGGTGTACATAAAGCACGGTCAGCATTCATGTCTAGTACATGAGCACATTTAAATATACGTCCTTTTCTGTGTTTGTCTGCGACACATGATGGCAGGTCAATAACTACACCTGAATTCACATCTTCAAACATTTCCTGTGCACAAACACACCAATGCCAGTGAAGCTGAAGCGGAGAGTCAGCCTACCTCCAGGTCCTCCTCCTCATCCACACTTTGAATGCTCTGGTAGGCCAAGGTGTACACCTCCAAGGCCTTGGCATGGAACGACATCTCCACTGTCACAAACTCACCAAAGATTTTCTATAAGGGGGAAACACATGGATAATAATTAAGTACAGAGTAGGCTTCAGCACTATTTAAATAAATCACAATTACATGGTGGCCACAAGACATGAAAAAGAGTTCTGACATGACAAAAAAAATGTCACTTCTTCAGACGTATACAGATAGAAAGCTTAGCGCAGCAGACCTTAATGTCCCGGATCTTCTGCTTCTCAAACTCGTCTATGGTCTCCTCCAGCTGCCTTGTGGTCCGTGTGGCATCCATGGTTGCTCTCTGGAGCTCACTTTCAGCCTAATGGGCGGACAAATTTATATACAACATACTACAAAATATATCAGACCAACACAAGAGGTTATGGCTAAAGTTTTTGAGAACAACCAGGTATTAACATAGAAATTCAACAGTATTCCTTTATGCTTGTTGATTTACTTCAATTAGAAAATGAATACTTGACACCCAGGCCAATAGCTTCCAACAGCAGAGCTGCAGTATCATAGGTTCCACACCTTCAGTTCCAGTCCCACATGTGCCACCTATCTGCATAAGCTCACATGCTAATGTGCTTTTTAAAAACAGGAAGGGGAAAACAATAGCTTATGCAATTTTGACATGTGTGTATCATGCATACAATTTAACACCTTAACTACACACATCTGAAAAAGCTATATATCTGAGCTATATAAAATAAGCTATTACTTTTGTTTCCCATAAGTGCTGCAGGTTGTGTACGTGTAGAACTGGTGTGACACTAGAGGAACTCCAGGGAGCTTCTAGGTTTGTGAGTGAGTTTCAAGTAATTTCCAAGACGTGTTTCACATCTAATAAAGAGTCATTTCTGTACATTTGTTCCACCTCCATTTCAATGGAAATGTGTTTTTTATCTTTGTAGTCCTACATCACCAGGGATGAGATGCACACATAACATGGGACACACCTGAGACTGAAAGCGTGGTCAAGGAAACATCAAAAATATATGAGCTTTCATGACAACTGATGAGAAGATACTGTAAAGTAAAACCTTTTCAAACTAGACAAGATAAACATTCAAGATGGATCCAAGTTTATTATTCTTCTGCAATATTAATCAACATCTATAATTAACCAGGAATGAAGCTATGCTCAAGATGTTGCCTGCAGCATACAGGTGGTTGTTGTAAGAAAGAAAGTTACTTGTCTGTTTGGTATTAGAGCAAGGATACAATAATCTGCCTGTCTGACGGGTTCCTCTGTCTGGTCCGTTCAAGCTGGGCCATCTGTTTGGCTTCTCTGTCTCTGGCACTCTGAGTCGCCTTCAGATCCTCCTGCATGGATGCACAAGCACACAAAGACAAAGTCGTCATTATGACAATGAACAATGATAGTCAATTACTTACACATTTGTGTCAGGACATAATCAAACAAACATTTGGTATAGCTCAGTGTTTCCAGATCGAGACCTCAAGTACATCCTGTCGTGAGAGTTTTAATAAAAAGATGACTTGGAAAAAGAGGCAATCTTTAGATGGCACTTTGCAACAGCGGGTGACCAGACGCCACGAGGCAACGTGACTCATTTTAAAATCTATGGCAACATAGTATGAGAGGTCATATATTCCTTTATGCAGAACATTTCTTTTACAAAATGCTGAGGGGGAGAAAATGACAACAGTGCAAAGAAGTGGGAAGTCATCATTAAATCAACACTGACCTCATGTGGCCATGCAGTGGTAATACACACTGACAGTAAAGTTGCCCCTAAGCCCCTATTCTCATCCTTGTTTAAAATATTATGTCTCAACAAGGAAGAATAAGACATAAATTACACACGTGTTAATATATCTAGAGACTATTGCCTTACAACCATTCAGAGTAAACTAGTTCTGAAACAAAGTTTCTCTTTGAGGGCCCACTGTACTGGAACATGGTTAAAGCTGTAGGTGTCATTTGGCTCACTTTAGAATCAGTGGAGACGTCTACATGGCTGCAGCTCACAGCAACACTTACCCTTTTACGCTTCACTACAGCTCCATAGCTTTTTAATGGCTCTATGACTTTGGCTTCAAGTCTTTCCACCTGTAAGGCAAATACGTTTCCATCAGGTTCTGTTCTTACCCACCACATTTAGACTGTGAGATGAATATAAAATGATGAATGAAGTCAAAGCAGCGGGAGCTAAAATGCAGCAGTTTTACCTCAGCTTGGCGGTAGTCTTGAATCTTGGCCAGGTGGTCAGCAAACTGCTTCATACCCCTCTTCAGGTGTGGCGTTTCTGTGTCTGCATACACGCCGATTTCCCGAACCAGGACATCTGACTTGTCTCGTAGTCTGGCTGTTTTACGGACATAGGCGGCAAACAGTTGGCACATCTCTCCAAAATGTTTCTCCACATTGGTGATGTTTTCCTGGATCTTTCTGGTCTGGCTGTCCCTGGAGAGAAGAGATTATAATGTGTTTTTCTTGTAGCAGCCCATCGATCACGAAAACATCTTGAGGATGTGTTAGTCCTGTAAAAGCCATTTATTTAGTAACAGCTGGCGTTAGTTTCCGTTATAGCAAATGTCATCTTACAAAAGGTAACGCTTGCATTTGCGCGTTATTTTGAGGATTATAAACGGCTTTAAGTGCCTGTGGCTGACAGAGTCAGAAGTCAATGTTATCATTCACTAACGCTGAAGGCGTCTTGTGTTTAAGACCTAACGTTACTAATGAGTTACTAATAACTTGTTCCTGGTTATATCTGTAAATAATGTAAAGCGTGAAAGCACAAGTTGGCTGAGAGCTAGCTTAACATATGCGGGTTTGTCTAGTTACCCTACAACTCGCTGGCGTTAAATGAGGAATTCGTTTGACGCAGTGTGTCCCTTACCTCGATCTTGCATCGGGTGTACGGCTCATCTTTGCAGAAAGGCAGTAAATTAAATGTTTTCCGGGTTCAGGCAAGCCTATCTGGACGCAGATTTAGCGCGAGCAAGCTAACTATGCTGTGTCTCTCCCAAGCTAGCACGCCAGTCTCCCGTTTCCATGGAGTCCCTGGCGTTTCCGCTTGAGCAGTGGCTTCTGGGAAATTGAGCCGTTTATTTACCTATCTGTCTTTACGCTACACCAGTACGTCAAAGGACGACATTGACATGTTTTTCCTTATTCATCAGATCTTTAATAAACCTGAGTAATTTCTTGGCATATTAAGATTAAACACAGAAAATATATATAAAAGAACATAGTAAAGTAATAGATTACACAACCCAACAGTATAAAGCAGCCAAAATGATGCTATATCCACCTTGAAAATGCTGCATATCTTGATCAATCAAAAATCAAATAGTAATATAAACCTTACACCTATATATATAAAGGGGCCCTTCTGTATAATCAGTACTTTTGATTGTTTTACTATATTGCTGATAATACTGGACTGTACATTATTTATACAACACTTCTATCCAAAAGTGTCCCTACCTCTCTTTCACTGGCACAGAGCTATGCAAGGGGATAGCTGAGCCATCAAAAGCAATTGGGCTTCAGTGTCCTGCCCAATGGCAGTATAGGTGCTGGAGATTGAACTGCCAACACATCCCTGCCTTCATTTGACAGCCAGCTCTACCTGCTGAGCAGCATATAGGATACTGTACTAGAACTTCAGTCACAGTTTAAATGCAGTACTTGTACTTGTTATTAAGTATTTTTTACAATGTGGTATTGCTAGTTGGCATCTGAATACTCCATCACTTCTATTAAGAAATAACCTTGGTCCTTTGGTCCTCCTATAGGGTTTACTGCTCTCCATACATGCATACTGGTTAGAAAGTTCAGACTGTTTGAAGGAGAAGGGAAAGCTATAGTTCATGATGAGTATTTAAGGTTCAGTCAAAGGCAGTGCAGAACATTTTAAACCTGGATATAGAGGTGGTCAAAATTGGTGCAAGTCTATATCCCCTGGAAGTTTGTTCCAGTCCACACACTGACTAAATGCTGCTTCTCCATATATGCACGCTGGGAACAGTTAGCAGTCCTCCACTTAATCATATGAGAGGTCATTCAAATACAGTCAGAGGTGTATTTTGGTCAAATGCCATTTTGAGACTTACAGACAAGCAGCAGTATTTTAATTTAAACTATATTCCCTGACATATTGGAAGCCAGTGAAGATACCTGACAACTGGTGTGGTGTGTTTGGTTTTCTTGGCCTTCATGACTCGAGCAGCAGCATTCTGTATGAGCTGAAGTTGTATGAGTTTTTTTAGGGGAGATCAGAGAAAAGACCATTGCAGCAATCTAACCTGCTGGAAATGAAAGCATGGATTAGTTTCTTCATGTTTTAGTCTTAAATTATCCTCCCAATCAATGTTCAAGCTAAAAACAAATCCTCACAATGACTTAAGGAAGCCGTCTTATAGGCCTTGTAGTAGTAGTAAAAAATAATACATAAACGAAAACAAAGCAGAGAGCCAGAGAAAAAGGTGTCGGCACTAGCAAAGCAAGAAGTAAAGTATTTTGTTTATCAAGCCAAGAAAGCTTTAAAAGCAATCATGCAATCTGTAATATTGCATCATACCTGTTAGAGATATTAACCACAATATCAAACAAGTAATTGGATTATCTCCATGGTTTCTCTCCTTGGCTAGAACATCCCTGCTGGAAAAAAAACAAATGTTTGGTTGGTTTTTACGGCATCTATAATTCCACAAATAGACCAAGGTACATTGCCTGCATTGCAACAAAGAGAGACACAAATAGTCCTTTTCAACAACAGCTTGACTGCTTTTGAGCTGGTGCCAAGAGCAGACTTTGTGATCACTGAAATGAATGGAGGCCTCATTGTAATTCCCTCCTCTGTGTTTGGGAATGCATGAATGTCACCAGCTGCTGCGTCTGCTCCTCTGTGGAAAATGTCCAAAAACCTTAATTATCACGCTTAATCATCCATGGGATTGAAGCAGGGGAGATCCCACTGTAACAGATTGGCGATGTAAAACACGGCCATTGCATTGAGCTGTGTGCCTGGAATCCCAAGAGGAGCTGGTTTATACTCTCTGGTACAGCTGATGCTGGTATAGATTCATTTTTCAGTTAAATGCTTCTGATTTAACCTTCCTCTGCTCTGGCTGAGGGGTCATTACATCATTATAAAAAAAAAAAGTGATAATCTAATACAGATAACAAAAAAAAATTTGTGTGATGACGTCCTACATGGCTTCTTGTGTACAGTCAAGTACGCACCTTTAGATTTATGCTGAGTATAGAGTGTTGTAATGAATTTCCTGGAAAGATTGTTCAGGCCGTGTGAGTTTTGATTAAACAGCATCAAGCTAAATTTACTTTACTGTAATTCAAGACTATACATGTACACAGCAGAATAAAAGTGTGTTTACTCAGCTCAATATGACAAATAATCACACAGAACATGGATAAAAACATATGAAACAACCGTCAACAACATGCATACATGTCCAAAACAAATAGAAGCAGTTGTAATGCAAAAATGGCATCGGTTAAAGTGTACATTTTCTATCCATCACTGTCGGTCTGTGTGGGTGTGTGACTGTTTAGTGTGTGTGTGTGTGTGTGTGTGTATGGAGGAGGTTAAATGGAGTTGAAGAGTCGATTACAGAATCTGGCAGCGGTTACAGATGTTTATGTTTCTACAAGGAGTCAGTGAAAACTTTTCACCTCCAGAATTTTTCAACACAATACAGTTGCAGTAAGTCAAAGCAGAGTTTCTCAGCTTCTTCAGTGTGATTGCATTACTCAACCACATGGTGGCAATCCGCTTCCGTTCGTCACTTTGCCAAAGCTCTCAACAGGAATTTGCACGGTTACAGGTGGATTCTGAGCTGTCTGTGCACATAAAGAGTCCACTGACTCGCTTCTTTCGTCATCATATGTTTACATTATTCAGGACTCCCTGGCAGTAACCCAGGACTAGATCACAATCCCTAAACATTCTACTGTAACAAATATAACAGATGTCTGTCTAGCCGGTGTCCTGCAGGATCTTTCTGTTGAAAGAAGCCCGGGGCTGTCGAGTTATTTGCGTTGGCTGCTGGTAAATGTATTCAGGAGAGGTGGCATCTTTTTCGACTGTGCATCTGACTTTCTTAAAGAACAGATGGTGTTGTTTCCAAACTACCAATTAGCAAGAAGAGGGTAGCAACCACGAGCAGCTCTCCCTGCCTCGTTCATGCTCTCTTCTCTCTCTCTGTTGTTTCTCTTTCTGCCTGACTCTCCCCCTCTGCAGCCCTCTACTCCACAGTGGCGGTACGACACTGGAGCGACGTGTGGCCTGCTAAACAGATTGGGAGTGACATATGTCAGACGTGGGGGAACTTAGCGGGGCAACCAAGTATGTGTCCCCCAGCGTGCGTTTGCCTGTGTGTGTGTGTGTGTGTGTGTGTGTTGACTCTTACCCTTCAGGTACGAGTCCTGGTGTGAAGACTCTAGACTTGAGGTTCCCCCCCCCCCTCACAGAGGCTCTCATACAGCTTTAGATTCCCTGTTAATAACAAGAAGGAGTCTGTGGGAGGTGTGTGTGTGTGTGTTCAGGGATGTGGGTGTGCTGAGGATTATGAACAGTGTGATATCTTGTTTGCCACTTGGTGCATAAAATTAAATTACAAGCCAAGAGTCAATATCTCATCATGCTGATTTTGGCATACCTCGCTCGCCTTCCTCTAGCGGCTGCATTCCTGTGATTCGGCAGAGGGACACAGCACTGCTCTCTTGGAGAAATTAACCCTGAAACATCCAGTGGGAGATATACTCCTCCTCCACTCTCTGCACTGAAAACTCAGTTTTCAGTGTTGTAACTTTTAGTCCTTAAATTAAGAATTGATTTGTTCTCAGATGCAACTAAACGCTCCCCTGGAGAGTTTGTGAATGAAAAAGCAAAACTCCTCAACGCTATCATACAGACAATCAACATGCCAGTCTCAAACTTAACATCCAACTAAACTTCATTGAAGCTCAGCCGTCAGCTTTGAATACAATGCACTGGTGTGGGAATCCTGTCTACTGTCATAGCAACATCTCTCCTGATGAAGTCTTTTTGTAGATGAACATCAGTGTGACATCACACATTAAGAAGATGTCGCAGGTCCTTTCTCCCTGTGCACAGACAGCCACGATTAGTGGCTCAGAATCACACATTACAGAAATATGAAATTCAGCGACATTCCCCTTTAACTCCAGCAACCTTGAACAAAAGTCCTCCCACTGCAGTTAAGCGGGTGCTTGAAGGGCAAGCCAATGCAGACACGGTCCAGTGCTTTTATTGACCCAATGAAAAACCTCTCCGTGTCTCCAGGGACTTGGAGCTCAGGTTAGGGTCTTTGTTGTCTGCGTTCATTAGTGTCTCCTTCGCCATCTCTATGGCTCTCTCTCTCTCTCTCTTTCTTTCTCCATCTCTGTCTCTCTTACTCTCTTCTCTAACACCTCCTTTTCTAACTCCCTCACTCCCTCGCTGCTGCTCTTTTACCCCAGAGGAGCTGGAGAAGAAAATGTCACCAGATCAAATTAGTGTGAGCCTCCAACACTGCCTGTCTGCCTCTGTCTGTCTATTCCACCGAGTGAAAGCATCACTCATGGATGTTTCTAGAAGATTATTTGTGTCCAAACTTTACCTTCCCCAGGTATGATACTCTATGACTCTTGTAATAAACAATTTTTTCTTAAAGTTGGTTTAAAGTAAACTTCCACTGTATTTTTTTTTTTTACGGGATAATACTTTTTTTTAGTCTCCCTTAAAAGATGCAAGTAAAGTAATGCATCAATTATCTTGTATTAAGATAAAGGACATAATATGTTTGCAATTACATAATAACAAAGACATTGTCCGAGATTTTATAATAAATGTACGTCTCTCATGCGTTTGCCAGGCAACCTCTCCAAAAAAACTTCAAGTTGTCAATGTTTCTTTAGTGTTTTGTTTAATGTCTTACTGCTAAGCTAACCTTCATCTGCCTCCAGCTTCTCATTTAACAGACAAATATGAGAATTGTACCAATCCTCTCATCTAACTC